AACTTGGAAGTAGAGGCTTCGGATACTATCGAGAATGTCAAGCAAAATCCAAGACAAGGAAGGCATTCCACCGGATCAGCAGAGACTGATCTTTGCTGGAAAGCAGCTGGAGGACGGTCGTACCTTATCGGATTACAACATTCAGAAGGAGTCGACGCTGCATCTGGTTCTTCGTCTTCGTGGTGGTTACTGATCTATTTTCTGCTTGCTGTAAATTTTTTGGAAGTGATGCATTAAATTTGCTTTATTGGCCTTGAGGTTGAAATTGCAATTTCAAAATTCTAAGACTTTGAGTGAGTCAAATCAAAGCTGAAATTGTGTCTGCCCTTGTTTTGAGAGGAATTAATTTCCGGTTCTCGCGGACGGGTATTTTCATCTTAGCAAAGTGTATATTGACTTTTCTCTAGATTCCCTTTTTAGTTGTCGAGATGGACGGGATTTTACTCTTCTAAGGATTTGTGAATAAAAAATTATTGCAGTACTTGTCGCTTATGGAGTATTTCGAGTATGTGGTTAGGTGTTAAAAAATGGTACCCGGGTATAAGCGCATTTACAGATGACGTAAGAGACCGGGACGATTTTCTAGAAAGTTCGGTGGTAAGGCGGGAAGGTTATTTCGCGTCATCAATCACACATTTGTAAAATAGGAAGTTATTCGACGCTATTGATTGAACAGTTGTAAACTAGGGGGTCATAAAAAATTCGTGGTGCCGGTTACAGATTAACACCTACATGGGGATACTTAATACCGGCATTACACTGAAAGCGGCTTTAAAGTGATTCCACCACTTATGTTCCAACTAGATTATAGGGGTATTGCTTGCTCCGTTTGTGTTTTTCTGGGCTGTTGGTGGTTAATGCAAAGAAACCCCTTCAGAAACTGTGTTCATTCGTATGCTTTGTCAATGTCAGTAAATTTTTCTGTAGGCAACTTTGTCCCCAATTCAGTTGCAGTAAGAGCCGGCGGAAAGATTATTAGAATTCAGTTTTCCACTCGGTTTACTGTGTTCGGTATTATTGCTGGAGTAGGTTTGAGTTTAATTTTCACTTCATTAACTATGTTCGGTTTTGCAGTGGTTCCCGTCCCGATACTACATTTGCCGTTCTTTCATTTAAGGCTGGTATTGTCAGCGCATTGTCGTGATTTGTGTGGTGAAATTTTATGGTATGGTTAGGAGCTTTCAATTGTAATCGTCTAAATTTATTTAAATTTCGTCTTTTCTGATGCTACCCAATATAAACTGAAGCTCCTGAAATGTTGGTCGTCGTGATGGTTCCTCTTCCCAGCAACGTGCCATCAACTGTTTCACCTTTATCGGTGCTTTCTGGAAATTATCTAAATATTTGCTTCCATCTAAAAAGTTCATTTGCATCCTTACTACGGCAAATGTGATTGATACACCTTCAAATTTTTATTGCTGCATTAATAATTTGACAACATACTACTAAAAATGCATCCCGCTATTTTAAGGTGTATCGTTCTTTGCCTAGTGCGGAGGTATTTGATCATATCAGTACATTGACAGAAATACATTTATGAAGCTGAAAATTGTGATGGTAAAATCCGTTGTAGAAAATAACCTTTGGAAGTTCCAACCGTCTCTGGTTGTGAATGACATACGACCGGATTTCCATGTTTGATAGACCATGGAATGGTACATCACCGTTTTTATAAATTTCCCACATCTCAAATTATGCTGCAAGGAGCTGACAAAAGCCAGCCGAAGAGAAATAGTTATGCTAAAGATAGTTGCGTTATTACAAATAACTGGAAATAACAGAAGTCAATGGTTTCCGTAACAATAACCTCATCCCAGTAATTCGAATTTTTATGACTAGAAGTTTGGCACATCTCCAGCGTTTATTGGAGATCATCATTGAAAGTGAAGCTTACAAGTACGCCAAAAGCCCAGACATCGGTTTCTTTAGAGAAGTCATGTCTCAGCATAGTTTCTGGAGCCAGCCATCCTGCAGAAATACTCTCCAAAGGCTCTTTATGAATAAATGATGGGCACTGGTCTGATGCAGCATAACCAAAATTAGCCAATTTCAAATTCATGTTTCTGTCAATCAGACAATTCTTCGCTCTAACATCTCTGAAGTAAAATAATTTTAAAAAATTTCCGAAATGAATACGACAGTGGGAATTTCATCAGATGTCCATCATCTCTTTTTAGATTCAGTGGGGAACTTTTTACTGTTGTGAAAAAAGACTCACTGACCTGAGAAGCATAAACTAAGGAATCCGGGGAGAAAGTGAGTGTGTCATCCCTAAGACACTATTTTGAGATGACTATTCAATATGTCAACAGTAAATCTTAAAATCAAAAAAGGAAAATTCTAGTCACTTATGGACATATCCTTTCTCAGTGAGGTATTTCAATGCAGCAGCTGCTTCAGTCGCATACCGTATTTTCTGGTCTTTCTGGGCTTCTTTTTTTTGTAGAAACGTCAGTAATTTCACTAAATTTTCAATTCAAATTTTATGATGAAATTCAAGTTTTATGATGAAATTTAAATTTTCCTATTTAATATTCATAACCTGTCGTGAACGCTTGAATCCCAATCATTTAACGCAAGCATTCTCGAACTTGCCTTTCGCCCTAGCCTTACCTATTTTTGCAATCTTCAAGGGACCGATTATTATTCAAAGCGAAGTTCCCTTACTTTGACAAAGTCCAACAATCATTGTAAACGGGAGAGCAGTAACGATAACACCGTAAAACTGTAATATATTCGGATGAGATAATTCTTTTAGAATGCGAGCTTCAGCCATGAATTGTTTCTTGCTTTCTACCAGTAACTGCTTGCTTGTAAGTAACATTGCTGCGGCTCGAAATTTCCCTTTTTCAAGACGAACTACCACTTCATAAGTCTGAAAGAAATGATATCAAATCTGTTCCGAAAAAAAAAAAATGAAAGACCAAGTCCATACTGACTTGTTCAGATTAGTACGACGCCGAGTAAAGAATTTGAAGAACTAACTTTCATCCGGTAACATTCGCAAATCTCTCCGAGCAACTGCAAAATACAGGATGGCATCAAATTCCAAGACGGAAAAAAAATTGGATTCTTCAAGACAATTCGTTTCCTTGTTAGCGGTGTCTTGGTATTTTGATGCCAGTCTAGCAGTGAACCTATGCTACGATCCTGAATAACTATATCTAGTTACATGACCGTTGACGGATGTATATAATCATTCGCTGTGCTTCATTTAGATATAGAACGTTTTGAACCTCTATCATTAAATTTACAATAAAATGCAAACTTAAAGCTTCAATTCTAATAGCTTGTAGCTTTTCAAATAAAAAAGAAAGGAAAAAAAACACAACACAAAACGAACCTTACAGTCATCATTGAAGAAATACATTTTATTCATGCGATTTATACATATCGTTACCACTTTACCATTGTGATAAGTAGAGAGAACACAAACGAATCGACCTAAAATTATTCATCTGTTATTCAACCTAAAATTATTCAATGTATTGCTTCAAGTCCCGTATTTATTCTATTCAGCCGCACCATTTAAAGATTATGAAATTTGAAGATGTTTTTAACTTCGTATATTAAAAATATATTAAAAAAATATATATATTATATTAAAAAAAATTAAATATTAAAAATATATTTTAAAAAAAATATTAAATTAAAAATATTAAAAAATATATTATATTATATATTAAAAAAATATATATATTAAAAATATATTTTAAAAAATATATTAAAAATGTATATTAAAAAAAATATATTAAATATTTTCATATATTAAAAAAAAAAAAGTATATTAAAAATTAAATTACCTTCAAAAGATTACTAATCAAGGAATTAATAAATCCTTCAATTCTAATACAACTACTAGCAAGATTTTGAGCAACAATGAAAAACAAAAAAAAATTTCACCTTTATAATCCATTAGTCGAACCAAGTAATCACCTTCCTTTGTGAGAAGTTTTTTCGCATCTGCCAATGATATATAACCATGAAATATCCTTCGATTTCGCAAATCTGTATCCATTCGCTCCTCGAACATCTGAACAGTTGACGTAGACATCCTTTTCTTCTATATCTTCTGCAGTTTTTCTAATGTAGGTGATGTTCACTGCACTGCAAATGTTTAACAAGCACAAAAGCACAAAATTGCACCAAACCGCTCTACCCAACGGCAAGTACACAAAATAAGCAGAAAAATGAAAAACCGAATTTTTAGAACAATCGAAAACTTCTGTACTCTGCCATTCTATGCACTTGGAACTTCCACCCACAGTTTTTAAACATTGCAGAGTTTTAATCTCTTTTAAATCTCGATTTTTAATCTCGATTTACAGTCTTTATGAGAAATGACTTTATTCCATTTCTATCCACTGACTTATCCCTGCCTGTTTCATATAATTGCCCTTAACTAGTAACTAACAATATAATCCGTCAGGCACTTCCAATAAATTGGTAATTTTATAAACATTGACGAAGTTAGTCAGCAAAACCCTGAACAAGGAAGTCATGTAGTTGTGCTGCCGTTATTAAATTACTTCATCTCCCTTTCTTTTAGTATAGAAGTAATATTAAAGCTATTCTAGTGCGGTAATTCAATTCTTCGACTTATCATGAAGAATGATTCCAAAAGAAGTAGAGAAAAAGCAAGTAAAACTGATTCCAAAAATTTTATCTTACAAAGTTGCAAAAATTTGGTAAAAGAATAACACGGCTTAGATCAAGTAGAACAAAGCTTCACAAATGGATCAATGTCTGACATAATGAAGAGATAATAGTTTTACGGACATTTTACTTTAGATGGGACAGTTCACGTTTCTATGCTCGTACAGTTTCGAGAATCGAACTGGTTACTGGATTTGTAACATGAAAACTATCAAATCATTCACAAAATGTATTAAAGGAAGCCAAAATAATTTTATCAACCTAACTCGTTCTGAACTCGACAAATCACATTTTCGTTTGTAAAGGAATCTTGAAAAGGTCATCGAAATTTGAGCTATATATTAATAACATTTAGTACGACAAACTTATAAGAATATTGTAAAGAAGCTACCAGCCTATAACAAACTGGGCAGTGATATAACGACAATAGGCCTTAATATACAAAGTCAGAATACTGACCAATCTCCATAAAGTATATAGAATTATCACAGAAGCACTGGTCAGCATTCTATAAGTAACGATACCCTTATAAGAATTACTAATCAAAAGTAAAATAGTCCCATTATCAAAAAAAGCTTGACCGCAATTTTTATTCCCCTCATTTAGCTTCCTACTTCTCGATTCTCATTTCAGTAGCAATGAAATAGAAAAATATAATCATGAACTTATAACGTCAATAAGTGCACAATAACTTAACAAGTTGAAATGCTTTTTCAAATAACACATACTGATGCCGAACGCACTCCACATTTTCTTTTCCCAGAGCTAACAAAATGAAAACATAATTTTTACTTAGAAATTGGTTAAATCTTCTAATGGAATCTCTAAGAATCATAATCGAAGCGAAGCAAGCACAATACATTTTTTAAGTACAAAGAAAATGAAAAGGAAGAAAAGTGCGAAAATTATGGCTACAGAAGGAAAGTCGATGAAAGATGAATAAGTGGTTCATTTTAATAACCAATATTAGAGATCCATTTTTTTTGCGATTCAGTCTAATATCAGGTAAGGAGACTATTCAATTACCTAGCTCATGTTGATGCTCACAGAAAATTTTGTTGCTCTTCTTGCAAGTTCTTCTTTGTTCAAAATTGTGGAACAACTTTTCCTTTTCAAAACCTTGAGCAAGATCTAATTTCCACTTCATACTACTAAGGAAACTATCAAAAACAGAAATTCATATCAGAAATTATCAAAAACTTTTCCCCAAAGTTATATGTTTTTCGCACACTGACGCTTCACTTTTCTTGTTCTTGCGTCTCCTAAGATCTTTACTGCAATCCACTGAAATACCACAGGTATCCACAAGCTTCGGCAGGGGGTTCTTATCCAAATCTGCTTTTTTCTTACTTTTCACACACAGACTTTTTCCGAATGAAGGAAACGAAATTACAGGAAAATAAAGAGGAAGGTCAAAATCATTTGCAACACGGCCTTGTCCACCAGCTTCGAAAAACCTTAAAAATGATTGTGGGTATTCTTGAAAATTATGGATCCAGAACAGAAGTCCTTTTACTGGATGGGTCACATTAATTTAACTCATCTATTCTCTATTCGATTACCTGCACAATAAATTTCCTGTTCAAATCAGAAAGAACTACTTCTTTGCTATTAGATCCGGAAAAACCCTCTTAATTTGTCAAAATCAAGTGACACTACCAAAATCTACTAAAGCCGTACGAAAAATGTTAAGATTAAAGTAAAACATACCAGCCAAGTGGAAACCATAATCTCATTCTATTATCGCTTCCTACCGAGCTAAGCTGATATGCATAAGCATGATAGTATAAAAACATTCGAGATGAAATGCAGAATGCGATGAAGACATCAATGCTGTAGTGTTCATGCCCAGCCAGAATGAAAAATATTCCGAACAAATTTAAAACCCAAGTAGTCGTATGCAAGATATGCCATGAATCTGGTGTGTCTGTAAAATTTGTTCAAATTTACTGCTTTGTTACTTAAAAAGAAACTGTATTTCTAATCTGGGAACTAATTAAGAAGAAACTGCACTTCTAATCTGGAAGCTTCGTTCATCTGTCCACTTTCCATAGATATACATAGAAATTCCTTATCCTCATGTTATGTATCGACTGTAACAAGTCGACAAAACAAAAGCCTAAACTAAAGTAATCCATTTACTATGACTAATGTAAGTAAAATCAGGGATGTTTCACTGAACCAATCCTCCCTAAAACTATATGACCAGCAATTAGAATAGAAATAATCAGAGCAAAATAGATGCAAAATAATTAGATTTATTCATAAGGCTTCATAAATAAATTTAATTATTAAACTGAAATGATTATAAATGAATAGGTAAGGAAGATCACTTTTACTTAAATAATATTCACAAAGCAATTACTGTAAATGATTGTGCAAAATCATAGCACTTCAAGAAGTGCTATACACCATTCAGAAATATTGACGTTCTCGAAGGTGTGAGAACCAGAACTACAGAATCATTTATTTCAACAGTGCAAGAAAGCAGCTGCTAGTAATGGGTCTCGTGGAACCTATGGATACAACTAAAAACTAACATTCAGTGATGAAATGATTCAATAATGTCACCGCTGTTGTGTGGCCACTAAACATGTAGTCGCCGCACGATCGCACACCATGGATTGACATACCAAAGCGTGACCAGATATGGTAGGCTTGTTGAAGTCTTGCAACGAATGTACCATAAGTCTGTTAAAACATTAAAGTGGTAAAAGTCAATCCACTATTTCTAACAACTATCATAAGAAAAGTTTCTACGTAGACAGCTCAGACATTAGGTAAGAATAAATGAGTTGTCGATGCATGATGCTACTGCAGTTTAAAATAATACTGCCTGTGGTAAAGAATAGGGAAATGAAGTGAGGAATGATTTAATGATGTTAATAACAATATTTTCCACACATTAAGATCTCCCCCCCTCTAACAAAAGGAAATACCTGTGATCGGCATTCCAAATGTGGGCCTGGCACAGATAAGGATGTGATTAGCATCGTAACACAACGTAAAAGGAAGACAGTTCCAACCAATGAGAACATACGTCGCATTATAACGACTCTGAAAAGAAAACAGTAAAGTAAAAAATAGAAAAGTATTCAAAACAGACCATAAATATGCTCTCTTTTGAAATACACTAAAATTCTACACTTGAAAATCATCAGTAGTCTTTTCAGTAGGCCACTCTCAAAGAATCCCTTAAAACATCTACAATGCTACTTCAGCAGTATTAATGTAAGTAATGAAAAACTCTGGTATAGCATAAGCATTCAAGATCGAATTGCGCTATAATAACAATGAAATATTCAATCTTGAATTGGCTTATACCACTGCAAAATCATTTCCATAAAGAAAATAAATATTTCTCATAATATGATAAGCATATTATTGTGAGTACATAGTGTTAGTAATTATTATGTGTGCATCTTCAAGTTTGTCATAGACAATTACACTTTTTCAAAAGAAATCGAGTTGCTCTATAATAAATGATTATCATAGGACATGAATAATTTATGTGATGCAAATAATTATTTGCTCACCAAATTTCTAAATAAATAACTTATTTGGATCAAAAATACCTATGCTTATGGAAGAACAAGATCGTGAACCACAGTAATGCTAGAAAAACCGCTATTCCTTCACAAACTTGAAAAGCCCATGGTATCAGCGGCAAATTATCAAGCACGATATCTGGCAAAGGTGGATATGCCTTCATATCTAAAATTTGCTACAGATATTATTTTATTGTTCATAAATGAAGCTTATTAATAAACAATACAATACGATGGTATTTCCGTCTCTCTCAAGCTTTCCTTTCTCTTGAAAATTTTGAAATATATTTTGTGCAGTAAAAAATGACTCACCTGGTACACGGTCATGTACAAGAACCATTACAAAGGCAGTAATCAATAAAGAAGACGTACAATAACAAAAAGCAATAGTTAATTTTATGAATGACTTCAACTTTGTGTCGGGACTTTCCACCTGCAATCTGTTCACTGAGCTTCTTTTCAAGACGATATATGATGATGTATGCTTGGGGATTTTCAGAAATAAGTGTATTTGTGAGAAACATAAAGCAATTGCCCTGACGAATTCGTGTACAAAAATGTTGAATATTATTAAGTCCATCGAGAATTTAGACTTACATTACAAAGTGTAGAAAATTGACCAAAAAATGTAAAAAAGAGCATAATCAAGAACACAAATGATTTACCTGTCGTATCAAATCCTCTCTGCTTAGAAGATGCATTCGCTTTAATCGTCCATCAAACGAATTTGTAGCTACATCACCCAAAATACTTTGTGCAGTTTTACTGAAAGTTGGAGAGATTTTTCACACAAATTAAACCTGAATATTATACACATACGCTTTATCATTTGAATTATTATTAGCTCGGAATAGTATAACACCTTGAATTCGCTCGTGGTAGTTTTTCTTAATATTACACTGAAGATGAATGATGGCAGCTATCTCATCAAAGTGAGGCAATAAAAAAAGATATGGCGTAATAACGTAGCAAATCTTGCCTAGTTCTAGACAAAATTTTTGGGTTGAGGCTCGCAATAGGCACCAATCCATCTTCATAATCAACGCTGACTGGAACATCAGTCGAATCAATTAGTAAGGGATTAGTACCAGGAAATAATATTTGATTCCTACTGCTTGCAACAGCCAAAAAACTACTGCTCTGCATCTTCGACTGAAAAACGATTCATAGTTCTCTACCCGCCAGCCAAAAGTATCTGACCAAATAAATTGTGCTGAATCACCAGTAACGAAGGTTATTTATAACATGAATAGCATGGAAACTTGTAAGATATTTAAATGGGAAATTTTGTAAAAAATTGTCCTTCGTATAAGAAAGCTGTCTGGTTATCAGCACAACCTGAAGCGATCATAACAGAATGCAGTTATGCAGCTTTACCGACCGTATTCACCGTATCTTGAATATTCTGATTACAACCGCATTTACATCGTTTTGACTGCTCCAACTACAAAAACAGATATAAATTTTAAAACTAATAATGATCTCAGCAGAACCCAAATAATTCCGTCTATCCCAAGCTCAAAAATTTGCTAGACCATGTAAATACTAACCACCACTTCTAAAGGCGTTAAATCGGTTTTTAACTGCGAAATAGCCAAAGCCATGCGCTTAATGTCACCAAGACAATCCAATTTCAATGGCTTCTCGCGTAAATCGACTTCAGTTATCATTAGCAGTGTACGACCATCGATCTGAGAAGAGGAAAAAGATAACAATTGAACAAATCCATGAGGACCGTTTCTTTTTCAAACTATAACGAATGAAAAAGGCACACGCAGAATCTGTTTGGAATTGCTCCCAAATATATTCCCCACTCATAAATCAAATGTTCATTCACTACTTATTCAGTAAAATAACTACTTGTGCGGCAAACATGAATACCTTATGTTTGTAAGCGATAATATTCGCATACTTCTCAAAGCCTTGCTCACTAAGCCACGTAGCAACATCGGCATAATTCCATTCTTCAGGTGGAATTGTAGCGATTCGATCATAATCGTTGTTGTGTCGAGTATTTCCAGTCTCACATTTTTTCATCTCATCTTCATTACCGCATAATACGTCAAAATCAGCCATAATTACTGGGTGCAGAAGCATGACATCTATAAAAATGTAAACTGGCAATACTCGTCGGTATTCACAGCATTCGTTAAATGCAAATCATTGACCGTATATAAGAAAGTTTAGTAATACTCACACACGTAGTCACATCACCATGTTTATTATTCAATATGATAAATCTATTATTTCGTAGATACTACGCATTATATTTCAGATATCACTACATTCGACATATAATCACATTCCACTAAAATTATATTTAACCTTGAAGTCATTCACTCATCTAATCATCCATAATTAATATTAACTGCAAATAAAATCAACTTCAAATGAGCAAATGTGTAAAGCAAAATTAGAAGGGAATTGAGAAAAAGGGCATTCTCATTCATAATCCAATGCGGAGAGGGAATGGATAGATGAAGAGGAAAATACTGCTGACCACAAAAGAGGAGTTGCTCTGGTCAGAAAACTTCTGACATACGACATATTAACATGCAAGAGACAGTGCAACCAAATCAACTTTATCGAATCATTGGCACCTCCCAAATCCCAAATCGTCTTTCTGTCACGCCTCCCTGTCGTTATTAATCCAAAGGATTCGAAGTTTCATAGCGGACATGATGGAAATTTTTGGCGGGATAATTCGGATATAATTTCGAGGATGCGTGTGTACATGACGGTGTTGCAGGGATTTATTTGGGTGACCACATATCTGGCTTTAAAGGTCAACCATTTGGTCACTCCAGATTATGCGTATACTGCGACATACTGCGTATGACTGGAGATAGACGTACGTGTGACTCAGGGTAGGTGTGTGACTTATCCGTTGGATTTGTTTTAAGCAACTGGTCATTCACAGCAGGTCGTTCACAGCACAGCTGCACTTCTTTCGTTCGTTTCAAGTGTCGCTTTCGTCAAAGTGCCCACATATGGAGGTGCAAGCTTTCCGCTTAACACCCGCACTCTTTTGATTCTTTTAAGCTTTTGGAGGAGACTTTGCGACGTTCTGCGTCGTTGGATAGGATGAAAGAACGTAATTTTATTGGGAGCTTAGTCGTAATTCCGACAAATACCATGAGGTCCTGCTTAAAAGTAATTCACCCCAAGATTTTACTGCATTGCTAGAAATTGATTTGCTGTGGGAGGTGTCTCGACTGAAATGGTGCGTGAGACAGACCGCTGCAATATATTCGCTTCTCAGCTGCGAAGAGGTGAGTTGCAGTGGCGAGGATTTTAATCCTCCCCTCCCGTTTTAAAAGGATGAAAAGATTGATTACCGACTGCGGTATTAATTATTCCATTCGTGCACAGAGCAGGACAACAAGTGACCATCCTTACAATACTTAAAATTTGAAAGTCATTGGCTGAATTTGAGTTACTTCCACTTAATGCGGAAATTCCGCATATTTGTTCTAGCAGAGAGCAGAGAATTATCTAGAGGAAACAGTAGTATCTGGTCAATTCCAAAAGAACAGCACGCAAATCTAATGCAAGCGAGGGTAATGAATGAAGGAGTGAGCTCGGATAGAGGAGTATGAAGTACCTCTTCCTGAATAATTCAACGAGGGCCGAACAGTTTTGCTGATCCAACTTGCACTTCAGTTTTATCGATGTTGTTTTGGTCACCTGTTTCATATCTCGTCTATACAAAATAGATTGCAAATAATTATCGTTAACGCAGAGTGATTCGCTGTAGAAATCATCATCCGATGATTGAAAATGTAGGGAATAAAGCATGCCCTGGGTATTGTTTTTGGATAATTTATGTTATCCAGCGTTGTTTCTTGTGTAGTTGTATTTTTTTAAATTGTTCTAATTTCAGTGAGAATGTCGAATACAGATAAAAACCCTAAAGCTGGCAAAAACGTACGTGTTGCCGTCAGGATAAGGTAAACGGATTGTTTTTTATAAACTAGTATAATTGAAAGCTTGGAATTAGACACGTAGAATTGAGACAAGAGATCAGAAAGGCACACATAATGAAGCGTAAAACTTTTTTGAAGTAAATTCAGTTACAAAATAAGATATCAAATTCAGACCGATGAATAATAATGAGATTGCTGAGAAGGCTCGTTGTTCACTTACGGCAAATGCTCGTAAACGAACTATTGCTGTGATTGATCGGGGAGTCAATAAGGAATTTGGGCCATTTGATAAGGTTTGAATTTCATCTTAAATCAGCGTTGTTGTACTCTTCCGTGAACCGCAAGATACCACTCGGCCTGTATTCATCTAAATCGAAAGGAATTTTGTTAGATACTTGTCGGGTTTTTACTCCCTTCTTGCTTCGCAAAATTGAGTTATTAAAGTTTTAACCTGGAACATAGAGCCATGTTTTGTCATTATGATAATTGCTTAATATTTTGACTTTTAACTAGAGCAGGACAGCACGTTCAATTTAGTATCCTTTACCTTCTCAACTTGTCGCGGAAGAAGCTTGCGTGCTTTTGCGAGGTTGCTAATGGGATGGCATATGCCTCCAGTAGTCTCTTCTATGCCACACAAGTCTCAGTTGAAGGGTCAGATAAAGTGTGCTCATGGGCAGGGTGGACCTGTTAGTTTTTCATCAACCATCTTAGAAGAAGGTAACTCTAACTCCAAACTTAGACAGATGAAGGTCGTTTAGCCCTGTAAGCTCATCATCCAAACCAAGGAACTATAACAAAACCTACGTCTTGAAGACTTCGCTGATACCGTCCTAACTCGCCAGGCTGTTATGAACCTTAGGAGTGAAGGATGAAGTCAGTGTTGTACATACCGTATTTCACCTAAAAAATCTATTGCCTGGCTCGAAAGATACACCTACATTGTAGCATTTGTGGCAGGCATGGGTAAAAGAAAGTTTGTTCTCGAAGTCTAACCATGCTGATGTTAGCGAGTATCCCTCCTTATTTTTGATGTCGGTATTTTTTTTTTGAAGAATTAATTGGTTTTCTTCTTTTTTTTGCTGATCGCTTTGTTATGAAGCTCACTATGTTTAAACTTAGGTGTATGGAACGCATGCAAAGCAGCTCGACATATACTACGACTTGGTTGAACCCCTGGTTAAGAATGTCCTCGCTGGTTACAACTGCACTTTGTTTGCGTAAGCGTCTTTTAGTATCCTATTTATGCTTGGTTACTGTATCATGTTTTTATAACTTTTACAATTGTTTTATTTTTTCACATGAGTTAGTTTCAGTTATGGACAAACAAGTACAGGCAAAACATTTACAATGGAAGGTGAGCAAATCATTTCAGCTCATGAACACTCATGGAACGAAGATTCTTCAGTTGGTATAGTACCACGAGCTTTGCAACACATTTTTACTGAATTGGAAAATCAGGTACTGTTCAGTATAGAAAATTCATATTTCCCGGTTTCTATTATGGGATTTTAATTGAAATATTTAGTCGGTATATCTATATATCTCTTAGTTGGATCATTGTTCAGGATTGTTCGTTCATGATTACCCATTTAAAATTTATTCATAAAGCATTTAATGACGATTGACATGTTTCAGAGTGACATGTATTAATACAGTACAAATCTAATTTTCTCCTTTTGTGTTGTGATACATAGGGTACTATAAAGGTAGTATTATACATGTGGGGTATGATACTAGAGAAGCTGTTATAAATTCAACTCTAAATTTGAAGGATGCAGAAGAGTTCTCAGTTCGTGTGTCATATGTTGAGTTATACAACGAAGAATTGTACGATTTGCTTGGGAATGCTGAGCTGGGTCATGCAAGATTGCGTCTCTTCGAAGACTCGGTGCGAAAAGTAAGAAATCTTGACTTGCAACACTATGATTTGTTTAATGTTTAAAAAAATTACAGAAATTTATATGTTCTTGCAATGTTTAGGGCTCGGTAATCGTTAGTGGCTTGGAAGAAGTTCCAGTGTCTGACCGCCTTGAAGTTCGTGAACTACTGAAAAGGGGTGCAGAGAAACGACGAACTGCCATGACCCAAATGAATTTGAATTCAAGGTTATGATTGCAATGTATTTTTTTTTAAACTATTTTAATTTTGTAGAAGAGACTTTTCCTCTTACTTTTGATTTTTAGCCGTTCTCATACAGTTTTCACAATAACGGTTGTAATTCGAGAAAATACTGTGAGCGGAGAAGAAGTTATCAAACAAGGAAAGTTGAGTTTAATCGATTTGGCTGGTTCGGAAAATATAGGCCGTTCAGGTTCCATTGATAAAAGGGCTCGAGAAGCAGGTTCTCTTTTTTAACCTTGTTTATCTCTTGAGCTTGCAACTGTTTCTATTTTCCGAAATTTTGGTTGTGAAAATTTAATTTCTCGGACTAATTTTAATATCCTGCATAGGAAGTATTAATCAGTCGTTGTTAACACTTGGTCGAGTCATTATGGCTTTAACTTCGGGAGCTGGTCATGTCCCGTATAGGTAATCGTTCAGGCTTTCATGCTTTTAATGTGAGATGTTCTTTGTGTAACACCAATTTATCATTTTCTATTATTTTAAGATAACTAAACGAGTGCATTGCATATACTGATTCTTATTAACGCTGCGTTGCACATCAAATTAATGGTGAATAGGGCGATAGGTATTTTTGAAAAAAGATAGAAACCGTCCAAGCTTAATAAATCAGTGTTTTAGGGAGAGCAAACTTACGAGAATTTTGCAAGATTCATTAGGTGGGAAGACTATTACTACGATTGTAGCGACATTGTCGCCAGCTTCTACCAACATTGAAGTAAGTTATCACTGTCAGCTGTGTGTTTTAACTTTTGTCTTATAGAATTAGAGGCGGTGGATTTCATTGGAACTCCAAGGATCTAACGATGTGAAAAAAATTTCTCAGCACATCCAGTCCGTTTTTTTTTTTTCTATTCCTCTTTTTAGGAGTCGATTAGCACGCTGGAATATGCTTCAACTGCAAAGAATATTAAGAATCAGCCCGAAATAAATCAAAAATTGACGCATCGTGCTTTGCTCAGGGTATATTCATGTCACTGAAAATCATCGAATTTAGTAAATGCAATGAGAAGGCTGTCACAACAACTGTAACCATGCTGTCATACGTTTTACACATTATACTCATTTGTTTTCTTGCAACCTATAAATTGATCAATTCATTGGAACGGTTCCATTTTTAATTAAGCAATTTCCAGCTTCGAATAATTGTGCAAGTTTTCGTCTATCTGTCTTGCAGGCTTACAATGACGAAATGAACCGCCTGATGCGCGATTTACAAGCTGCGCGCGACAAGACAGGCTTCTTTGTGGATCGTCAAAATTATGAGTGAGTTCTACTCATTACTTTTCATATATTTTATAGTTAGACACATATTTGCCTAGCACTTTAATTTGTTAGCTTTGCTTGTTAGTAATTTGTATTTTAATAAAGATTTCGTCCGATAGTAATACTCATATGCGCAAAAAAAACATAGTATCAAGTAACATTTGCAGGAACATGAATATGCAACTTGCGCAACAGAGTCAGCAGATTGAAACACTCACCGATGAACTGCAATCAGTCCTTGAACGCATCCAGTTGGCAAGCTTTTATGTCTAGTTGAATTTCTCTCTCGTAAAATGCATAATTCTCTGTATCATTTAGAAGACTTTTTTTAACCGTTTTAAGGTAATGACTTTACAGTTCTGAACATATTCTTTTAAATATCATATTCTTTTAATAACTTTGCTACACTTCGGATTAAACGTGTGTTGCACTTTCACTTCCACATCGAAGCACTATGTTTATTCATTTCTAATTTTATAGCTAATGCAAGATGCAGAACTCTTGGGCCAGCATTATGGCCGTCTTTATGAACGTTACAAGCATATGGAACAGAAATATAAGGAACGTTGCGATGAAAATGCCCAGTTAAACTTGGTAGGTGATTACTACCACCTTTACTACCAGTTCAGAAAAACTAATGACTGCTGTTGGAGATTGTGTTCTGCAAGTTCTTTAATCTTATAAAAATTGTTTGCATAATTTTATAGCACAACATATTTCCTCACTGATTGTCTCAGTCATCGTCTCTATTATGAATTAGAAACAAAATTTAACGTTTTGAAAAATTCCTTGTTAACAGTCTGTATTTCTAATGGATCAGATTTAAATTAAATTTAAAGGAATTGGCGGACTGCAAGTCGAATTTAGAAAATCATCGATCCGTCCTGACGAAATTGCAAGAATCAGCGAATCGAAGTCAGTCAGAGAACAGGCAGGCTAGTATTAATCATTCAGAGAAATGACAGGTTATAAATCCGTGAAATATATTTGTAGATTTTTTTTTGCACTTTTATCTGCACCCTAATTTCGAATTTTCTATGTCTGTAAAGGGATAAAATCTAAACTTGAGTCCTTTTTATTCTAGCTTCGTCAAAACTGCTCACATTTGGACTGGGAATTGGATAGAACACATGACAAAATTGATGTTTTCCGTAATGCAGCAAATGAAAATGAAAAATTGTATCTCCAATGTACAACATGCAGTGCACAAAGTGCTGATAAACTGAAGAAAGGTGTTGAAGATTGGAATGATATGATACAATCGGAAATGAAAAGAATAATGGATTGTTGTGGTGAGAAGTTCAATCTATTTCCTTTATTTGTTGTTTTTGAAATCGAAACTAAACATACATTAAGCAGTATTAAATGTTGGTGATATCACGTATTAACTGCCGAAGAGTGGAATAGTTTGAGATACCAGGTCTCAGTACGAAGTTAATTATTTTGATCAGATTTTAGATCAAAGATTTTTTATGTCTGTCCATAAGAAAACTCTTTCCTAACCAGCTTAATTGAATCATAATAGGGGGTAGTTTTACGTTATAACTACTATTCTATACAATATTATCAGCTGCATGAATTTCATGATTATGTATGCTTCAGAATTTTTACGCACTTTTACTTTTTAAAGGAAAGAATTTAAATTCTCAACTTTTATAAAATTATGACACGAGCATTAATATTTTAGCATACAGTATTACTTTCTATATAAGACCTTAGATACTTTTCGACATTATATATTCAAATGCAAATGTAATAGAGTCTCTTTAAATTTGGATAGTTATGCAATAAATACTGAAATATATTTAAGCAATTTCAGAGCGAACGAAATCGAATGTGGAGGAAGATATGCATACATTCCGGAACTACACGGAATTACTTCGTTCTCAATTGTCTGAATTTTTTACTGGTTGTGAGGTAATTTCAATATTTATTCAAGATTTTGGAATTATAAAGATCCAAAAAGAGACTTAGAAGCTTCCCAAGGATACTTTTTTTATAACAAAGCGTATACGAAAAAGGGCGATAGTACGTAATTTCTAGAACGTATTTTACCTGTCTTCTATTTCTTTCTTTTTAATCATGTGTTCTATTCAGGGTGGTACCGACAACTCAGTTATCAGTTTTCTGAAGGAAGTTTGTGTATTCATTAATGGTGCCGAAAGTTATCATGAAAAATTATACGAACAACACAACAGATTTATTGATTTCGTAATGAAACATGTGAGCCATATTCCGAATCAAATCTTACATTTATTATGAGTTTCAATATTTAAACAGTATTCATTGAAAAGATTCTACAAATTCGCCAGAAAACGTTTCAGAATCTGTTTCAGAGCTATAGGAATATTTACAATGATTCCAGGTAGAAGAATATGAATTGCGGGGGAAAAGTTATTACGAAGTTTCCACCAATTATACCAATTTTACCGTGTCAGTGGCAGAAAAAATGAAGCACATGGTAAGTTGTAGATACTTGGACAAACATGGTTTGTCTGGCGATTAGCTTTGCAGATTGTACGGATAAGCAGAAAATTTTTGATGGGATTTATAAGTCAAAGTTTTTGAATTTACCACTTCAAGATGTGAGTCTGTTTTGATTATGTGTAACAGTAGCATCCTTATTTAGTTCGAGCTGTCTCTCAGTGCTTCTTTGAAAAACACAAGTTTTCTCTCTCTAGTTTTTATTAGTATGAGAGATATGTTATTATTTACAATCATTTCATCATTTATAATCTTTAATAACTTTCCATATGTCTGTCATTATTCAAATCCAGTGCATATTTCACGTTAGGTTACCGATGCATTAGAAACATACATTGAAACGACGAGAAATGAAACGCAACAAGTAAACGACAAATTAAAATCATTGAGGGCTGAACAACAGTCTGCTTTTGAAAGGCAATGTATATACGTGAAAACTACCATCGACGAAACATGTCCTAATAAGACGGCTTGGGAATCATTCAGACATGATTTTTCAAAGAAAATCACTTCCCAGAGAGAGTATGTTGATGACGTAAGTTAATACAGATTTTCATTACATGGTATTAGTGTATTTTGTCTTTTATCAATTATTTGATTATACATTCAAATTTTCTTTTGGAGTTAAGTTGATATTAAGCTACTGTAGACGCACAAAACAATGGAAGCGTTATGTAGAGATTTGCAAAAACAGGGCGACGTGGTATCTGCACGTATGAATGAAATGGCAAACTTAAACACAGATGTTGCCATGCATCAGGTGATGAATTTCTTTTGTTCTGATCTCCTACAGTTTATCTCTTGAGCAAATTTTTTTTTTCATACAATTTATTCCCTTCATAACTTCACCAATGATGTTTTATGTTGAATTTAGATAGAGGTGAGTGGAGTGGCGTCATCATCATTGCTCCAAGAAGTAAATGAAGCACATTCTCGAACAAAGCAGTTTTTTGAAAGGAATATTATTCGTCCATCCAGCACTGGTAGATATTGTCTCAGTTCAATTCACAACATTTCTTGAATTTTGAAAAAAAATTTAATTTGATGTTGCTGTTCTAGGATGAGTTGCTCCTCAATGCCTCACTATCTTGTGATAAGTGACATCGAAAACTCAGACTGAAATTCTCCTATGCGTAAAGAAGTTCTGTTTATTACTGACCGAAACACTTCTATAACAATCAGATGGAATCGCTGCCTACCTTGCTAATTTTGTGTTGTTTTCTTGGGAAGTAAAAGTTATAATTTAAGGCAAAACGCCGGTTCGTAGAAAGCAGGTAGCACTTCCAGAACCAGTTGAAATCCCGGATGCTAATGAACTGATTAACAAAACCAATGAAAGTGAAGTGCCACGAAGGTTGAGTCAGTACCGGGTGAGCGATAAATTTTTGTATTGTATAGTGATTGATTTCGTCCTTCCACTAGGCAATTATTATTTTTGCCATTAGCTATAAGCTTATAATCTTCGTTCGAAATTAAGATTAGACTTCACTTTCAATTGATTTGCCGTTATTTTTAGCCGCGTGATTCGATTTTGGAAACGTCGTTTGCCATTCTCTCACCAGGAGCCCTCAGGGAGACATTAAAATGTGATCTGGACGAGATTATTGAGGTACCTGAAGTAAGTTTGCTTCGGTTTAAAGGGATTTTGACCTTTTTTTTACATTTTGATTTTCATTTCAAGTTTTGATAATTAAAAAGAACAGCTGGAAAGTTCGAAATCAAAGATAAAAGTGAAATGTTGTAGCTTCAAGGCTATTTGAAAACGGATTAATTTCGTAAATTCTTGTTATGAAATAGTTCACTAAAATAGAAAATCGTTGGATTATGTGAAATCTCTCTATTTTTCACCATATATTTTCGAAATCATAATGAACTATTCTCCTGCTGAGTTTAAAGTTTTGGATGACAACATGCCTTTTCAGGACGGTAATGAATGTGGTGGTGCAGCTGTTAGAAAGCAGAATGATTCAGCGCTAAACATCACGAAAAGACGACGCGCTTTTCAGAGTCGAAATTCATGATCTAACCTTGCTAATTTTCGATTTGAAGCAAAATGCACTGAAATTTCAACATTGCTCATCTTCATCAGTTTGTAGATATTGAAATTTTCTAAATATTTCATGTAGCAGAAGGATTTTTTCAAGTTAGATGAAAACAAAAATTTCTGGTTCAAAAATCCAAGACTATGTTGTTTCTCAATATATTCTGCTATATTCGCTGAAAAATATTGTGTCTTCTGTAAATGATGAAAATAAATGCGTGTTTTGGTGCATTGTGCCGTTGTTGATATTGCATTTGAAAAAAGTCTAACCTGTATATCTTTTTTAAATATTTTTAAGGCTTGTTTTAAAAATGATGATCCAAGCTCGAATATTCCCGGAATGATTCTTGTGCTTTGTTTTTTCTTTTCCTTAATTTGGAAGTATGTCATGTCTTTTGTTACGTTTAGTCATTAATGAATATTTCTGTCATTAGAACTCAGTAACAGCAGAGATATTTGATCAATTAAATTCAATTTTTAAAATTTGAGAAGCCCTGAGGATATTTGAAACATTGCATGACGAGTATTGTTTTAATTATAAGTGGTCTCCGTTTTTAACAGTACTTTTATCCTCTTTTTGGTTATCTATGTGATTGTGTGGTCATATCCTTTCGTTATCAGTAAAGCATCCTACGCAGACAATTGGTCGTTCTACGGGCACTAAATATAGCACAAAGAATACGTGGACTGAAAGTATAGTCCTTCATTTATGTCACTGATCCATTCTTTTTTTTTGTTATGTATTGATGGATTGCGTACGTTACATATATGATTATTTAATTCACCAGTATATACATAGTGGGACAATGTATGTCCCAAATAAATCCTGGAAATCATCTGAGAAATGTATGACTAATTAACCCGTGTTATCATGAGCCGGCGTGATAATTTAATTCCCGTTTTGTTATACCCTTTTAGGACTGTTAATAGCTTATTGGTTTAAACACACCAATTCGCGATATTTAAATGGGGAAGGTTGGGATTTTTTTTCTCTTTTTGAAATTTTTTTTTCAAACTGATTAGAACTGCATGAATTAGAATTGCACTTTCTTCAGTATATTCAATTTTACAAAATTTACAGGACCGATATGGATGCGCTCAGCTGAGATAAAAGTGAACCGTGCTTGTCAATGATTAGCTTCCAAATAATATTACAGCAAAGACTTAGAAGTCTAAGATTTGGTAAGCGGTGCAAATCAAAAAGAACATTAAAAAGTAATTCAACCGCGGTAGGCTCATCAGACGAGGACGATGAAATTTATGTGCCTAAGAAGCCGATCCCTTCGCCGGTTAATTTTCAAAATTTCCTTTCTATAAATTTTATGCTGTATTTTATTCTATCCTTTATGGAAGTTAAATGATCCGGTTCAGTAAATATGTTTATCCACACATTTAATATGGAGAAGCAAACATCAAATGATTCCCGCCAGATGTGCTGAATTCTGTTTGCTTAGCTGAAGGTTTGAGAGACTGATCCTGTTTTTATATCCAATTATAGTATGTTTTTGTAGTATGATAAATCTAAGGATATGATGGCTGCATTTAGAACTCAGTAGTAAAAAATTTTGAGCTCCTTAACTTATGGATCAAATAGCTATAAACTAAAATTGATTAACGCTGCTTGAAATAATCGCAAACTGAAATGGTATGTTACTAATTTGTGAAAAGATTAGGTAAGACTGAAATTCTAAAAAGTTTTTAGTAAATCCCTTTGGCAAGAAAAGTTTTTTAGTAAAATCCTAGTCGTGAAATGTGACTTCATTTTAACATCTTAATACATTCCAGGGAAATTTTTTGGTGATTATTACCAAAAATTCCCTAAGAGTCTGTTATTAGATACTGATGTTTTTTTTTCTTAGATCGACCAAAGTAAAGTGGAGGAACCTCCAGTTTTCACCAAAGCCCTAATTACTCATCTGGAAAGACTTTCATTGGTACGGTTTAGTGACGAACAGGCAGTTCTTAATTTGAAACAAGCGGTACGATTTGCAAATCAGCTGAAGCTGATTGACACCACGGTAAAATCTTTTTAAAATTGTTGAGCCAAGGCTATCAAAATTCCGAGGATTACTGCTTGATATGCTTTATAGTTTGATAAAATTAGCATAGATGCATTGCACTGAAATATGGATAATTTTGTTACTTTTGAAATATAGAACTTTCTAAGTGGTCTTTCAAATATTTCACGCATAAGGGATGAATAAGCGAGCATTCATTAGCAAAGTTTTAGCGTGCAATGTTTTTTCGTCTGGACCTTTTTTGTAACTGAATATACGCTATTTTAATGTTGATCATTTTGTTTATTATATAATTTCGAGTAAATCGATTTTGCAAATTCTTTATTCATATCTTATTTAGTGGAGAGGTAAATTATTTCTAACTTGATTAGCGTGTTTTAGACGAAAATGGACTCTTGGTTTTTCTACATCTCTAATGCATTCGAGAAAAAAACTTATTTCCAGGGTATTAAACCGCTCGAAACTTTGCTTGAAGATATACCATGTCCTTTGCGAGAAGATGTTCCAGGTGATCCCATGACTAAAGCTGAAGTTCTGATGAATGCTACCAAAGTTGTTGAGGATTATTTTGTTACGCCACCTGGAAATATACCACTGGAAGAATCCGATAAACTGGATTTGATGAAAATTGAGGATGACGCGCAAAAAGAGATGAGTAAAAAGACTTTATTGAAAGATTCTGTAAAGAAAACAGAGTAGTAAAATTCATACTGCAGATATTTTGATGATGCAGAGATTCATTATTAATATGCTTATTTTCCGTTGCATGCCTATGTTCAGTGAATATTGCCAGAAAAATTGAACACTGATGATTTTTTATCACATTATCGTGTATCGAAATAAAATTTGAATACAATAAAAGAAAAAAATGCAATGTATTTTTGAAGTATCGTCTAGTGATATCATTTGTACATTTTGTAATAGGATCTTATTGCCAAGTTTGTTTATAACTGGTTGGTCTGGTGGATCGAATGCTGCATTTTCAGACAGAATAGAAGTATACAAAAGAATTGATTTTCCCCTAATATTTGTCTGTTAAAATGATGCTTTCCGATGAAAAACAAATTCTGAATGGTTTTCTCTGCAATTTTGAATCAAAACCAGAGTTTCATGAATTCAGTGAAAATGGTAAGAAAAATAACAGAAGACTGTCTGAACGTTAGATTGTACTGAATACTGAATTGAAAAATTGCGCCATTTCAGCTTATATACGATATCGCATAGTTTTCTTATATTGAGAGCGATAAATGACTAGAAAGGTTGATAATAGTTTTGGTAGTGCAGAAATATTCGCAGTAAAGATTGAATTTTTGGCGGAATATAAGAATTTACCACAAAAGATGTTACAAAAGTTAGCGAATTTTCTTTTTAGAATGGAATTCTCTTCCTTATTAATTCCCTATATTTTGGGTTGGAGAAAATAAGGGAAATTTTTAGACATTGATTCATCAGATTATATATTTGAGCATTGAGAAGTGCTTCAAATAAGAGTCTTAAGTTGTTGAGTAATAAGATATATTATAAAAAGGTGAAAGAATAATTGAGAAGCATTAATTTCGCAACTTAAAGATTAATGCAACATTTTAACATATCCCGGTTTACTAAGGTCATGAAATTTTCCATATTCTCATACTTACCTAACTTATACAAGTTTTACTTACTTTTCTTTCTTTTTTTTTTCAAAGTAATTTCAATTTAGTATATTCGACTCCTATTTTTATTGTATAAAAATACTTTTTTTATTGCCTCAAAATGTTAGGAAGCATGAATTGAACTGCTTGAGCTCACTTCTCCGTTTGTTTTTTTTTTTTTTATTTGTTCAATAGCTATAATCTAATGGATGATTCTTCTCGATTAAAATTGAACACTGTCACGTTTGTTTACAAACAAAACTACGTGCATTACACTCTGACATCTACATCTCATACTATTTTGTCTCCTACATTCTCTACATATTTCAAAAAAGCAAAGATAGATGAAATCAAAATTCATTCCCAGATAGACATAACATGATATGAGAAGCAAGAATTTTTCTATACTCGGATCATCCTCACAAATTACGAGATGAAATAAACAAATTAGACATCGATTCAATTTGATCTCTCTCCCTCTTCATATATATATATATATATAAGAGAGATTGAGAACTAGTTAACTTTAATTTTTTTTTAAAGAAATGATGATCTTCCATTCTGTAATAAACT